GGAAGCGAGAACCACTCGCAGATGCGGATTATATCACGGTTCAAAGGAAAACGTAAAACGAGCTTAAACTGGACCTCGAAGAAAGGGTAACAGTCTTGCGGAGGATGATCATACCGGTCGGAGGGGGAAGATCTAATGAACGCCCAACCAAGAGGTTGGCCGATTTTTTTGGGATCAAACCAGGAGTGAGAGAGAGGTAGAAGATGGTCGCTTGGAAGGTTTCTTGGTCGAGGACCGCTTGGGCGGAGAATTCGAAGAAGGAGGAACGGTCGAAGATGCGGGAAAAGTGGGCTGAGAAGAAATAGCTTCGTCTTCCTCTGGCTCATCCATTGAACCAAAGGCAGGCCGACGATGGCGGAGAGGGATATTATCCATAGTGTCGCCGGAGTTGGAAGAAGCAACACGAGCTATGAAGACACGAGTAGGGACAGTATCACCGGGGCGAGGAATCGAGAGAGGAACGGCCTCAAGAGCAGAAGGTAGTATTTGGACTGAGTCAGAGGAAGTGGTCGAGGAAGGAGATGGAGGCACAAGATCTGAAATAGAAAAAAGAAGAGAGAGAAAATTCAAACAACAAAAAACGGAATTAAGAAGAGAAAAACTAGGGTTCTATGAGAGGGGTGACTTCGGAGAAATTAAAGCGGAAGAACAAAGGTTTCAAGGGGCTTCTTGAAGAAGGAAGCAAAATCCACAGCAATTGACAACCAAACAAGAATACCCAATACACAAATTCAAGATACCCAGTCAGGGAGGTTCAAGATGCCCAATTGAAAAAAAAAAGACAGAGAAAAAATTTCTTAAAACACAAAATCCCAGATACACGAAGTACAAAATCAGGGGAAAACAACTTACTCATAATTGCGGAAGAGAGAATCAGAAAAGCTCGAAGATTGCAGGAAGAATCGCCGGCGGAAACTAGGATCTTTTTCAGAGAGGGCTGTGAATGCAAAGGGAATTTGGGGAGAGTGAAAGCGAAAAAGTCCGAAATTTTACTATGTGTTGATTTTATACTCTGAGGAACCCAAGAAGTGGAAAGATAAAAACCGTTAGATTAAAGTTAGATCGCACGGCAGAAAGCATTAAATGGCACGACACTTTAAGTGGGCGCGTTATGCGAGGGGGCGTCATCATTAAAGTACCTGACACACGCGAACAGAAGCGACACATGGCAGGAAAGCAGATGAGAC